GGATCCGGTGTCACTATCTCAAGCGTCTACGATCGTGAACCTGGTTTTGATATGAGAAGACACGTCTTCCCTTGCATTTTCTTTCACCTCTAGGAGTTTTCCAGAACATGGACGCTTTCCGGAATTCACGAGGGAACAGCAAAAAGGGGGTAAGAGAGCTGGAGAGTTTCTCCTACAGAGGATATCCATCGAGGTGCAGAAGGGAGACGCGGCAGCAGTCCTCGGATCATTACCGAATGCAGATGGCCTCGCTGGCATAGGTTGTTGAGATTCAGACACCATCTCCATGACAAGATTATTCAATAAAGAGCAAAAATGTTGATCGAAAATTCAACTCCCGCGCAATCTTCCATTCTTGGCGCCGAGGTGTGGACGGCACGAGCACCAGCCGAGGGTTGAATGGGTTTCCTCCCCAGCAAATCTTCTCTCGACGATCGTATACATAGACACTAAAGTTCACCTGAGTCTCGCTCGTCCGGGACATAGTTGGAGAGTTGAGTCTATTCCATGAACCGGGCCGGAAGCATGGAATCAAGCGGCCGCTTGCGATGCGATGGTTCGCTCCTGTCCCAGAGTCCGCGCAGATCTCGTCTTCTTTCCCGCGAAGGTGTTTCTCATATCGCAAGTCCGATTCTGAGGTGGGAACGGTTCCTTAACCCTTTACGTTCCGCCCTCCGATCTACGGTCTTTTCCGGGATCGTCGACATGGCATGAAAGCCATCAGAATTTTCATCGTCGCTCGTGAGCTTGGACCTCGGTGGGCGAAATCCCGAGCTTTCGGCGCAAACAATAACGATAGGGAACCCCTGGTTCCAGAGCGTCGAAATCGAGTTGACGCAGACAACCGGGAGAGACAGGGTGTCTGAGTCGCTTCTTCCGTCGCCAACGACAACTGGAGGGGAGGCTCACAACAGATGGGAACGAACGCGAGGGGACAGACATCCTTCAGGCCCGAACGAATGAGCGGCCGGCCCTTAGAGGTGGAGAGATTCCTCTAAAAAGGCGCTGCTGCGGCACGCTCCCGTTTTGCATCATTTGCATCTCATTCAGAAAAATTGACTCGCCGCGGTCCCTCGGAACCAGCGACCACTTTGACACACCGCGCACGTCGCATCGCAGCAAATCGAGGGGGAAGAATGTAGGTTTCTCGATTTCGCCGACTTCTAACTTCACGTTTATTCCGAAAAATGAAATTTCTCACGGGGGGAATTCGTCAGTCTGAGGACGCGGCGAATTGATTCTTTATCCGGATGCCGAATCGAATTATTCCCTCCGGTGGCTGCCCGCGCCAATCATGCTTCGATGATGCTCGTCTACTCATGAGATGCACGTGGATCGCATGTCATGGAATTCTCTAGTACAACCGAAAAGTTGCTTTCCTTCTTTCGACTTCCTCGCCTCATAAGGAAATCTCCATCAGAGTTGAGCATTCACTGTGATGCGCAGTCGGGTAGAGAGGGACGATCTCAAGATGATGTCACAATGATGTGGAATCGCTCAGAAGAGGGCAAAACACAGGCAAAGCGACTCGGGAATCTGGTCTCGCCGTATCCATGAATAAATTATGACAAAGCTCTCGTCTCCACAGACGGCGGGCCCTCGCAGGCCCATCGGCACGCTACTCTCCTGCCTATGTCTAGATGCATCACTATCTGGCGATTGTCTCATATTCTCCCAGAATGAACTTCCATATCAGACGAAACGGGGAGGAAAACACCTGCTGCATCTCCTCAAAATTCTTAGTTGCCGCATTCACATCAGAGAGAGTTGGGAAATGACTTTCTCTGCGAACCTCCGGCCCGCTCCGACCCGGAGCAATAGGAGAGGCGAGGGCGGACTCGCGCACGGAAGTCGATTGAATTTCTCGACCTCTGAAGGGCTGGGAGCGAGAAGTAGCAGTCGCGAATCGATGTTTCCGAAACAAGCTACAAAACAAATAAGAAGCGCTCCTCCGATGGAAGTGGATCGTCAAGAAGCATGGCAAATGCCGTGCACGAAAACTCAGCGAATTACGACAAGGAAACAAAATTGCCACCTGTCGTAGATGCAGAGCCCGAATCAGATCTTGCGTTTCTTCATTCCATTTTTCCTCATAGCCCCAGGTGCTGGAATCTGCATCAAAATTCCGAATAACTCCCTCGCAAGGCGGTCGGTAGGAATTTCGTCAACATTTTTCGTCCAAAGTGTTCACAGAAATCATGGAGGCGATTTCTGTGGCATCGTGTCAAATCAAGGGTGCGGGGAAGCTCAATCCGGAATGGTGAATCGGACAGAAAGGTTCCGGGATGCGAAAACATTGTCCGGTTCCTTGCTTGTCCGGACAGCCCCCGACCTAACTAGCATGAGCGATATGCATATCTCAGCCAATGGAGTAAGTGTGAGCTCATTCCGATTCTGAGTGATCCAACGCAGACGCTTCCCATCAGCAGAGGTCACGTCTCCCACGCAACTTTGTGAAGACATTTACGACTCCTCAGAAATCCCGAATGCTGCACGCGATTCCGGACGGCACCGGACTTTTGCATTGGCAAGCTGAGTCTTTCCGCTCCAGCCAACTGAACTCTTGGAACTCGCAATTTAGTCGGACGGGAAAGAGAGCCCGAACAAAGTGCGGGAAATCGGGTGGATGGGCTGGCGAGTCGCAACAGCAAGGGGCGAGTTTTTTGCATAGGCTGTCAACAATCGCGGCCATACTTCAGACGCATATGGCGCCAACGTTCGATATGTGCGTGTGAATGTTTCGGCGAGTTGACCCTCGCGAGGTTGACGGCGAAGTCGGTCGATCCGACGGCGGCGGTACAACATAAAAAGTCGAAAATACGACTGCTAGGCTTGGCCGTCCTCCCGAAGGAGGTTCTTTTCTCCCGGCCGCCTCCGCGGTGTTGCAAACTCTTTTTGCGGCGGCAGCAGCGACCTTTACTAAGTCGACAACTTTATATGGCCCATACAGCGGCTCCAACGTTAGCCTTGTCGTGGTTGGTATTGTCGCTCCCTGAGTCGTTCGGCGTTGTTTGGATGAGATCTCTGAGTGCCATCTTCCCGAAGCGAGCGGACGAGATGACATTCGGCTCTTGCGAAAGGCAAATTTATAGGGAGCGATGGTGCAACGACCCCATTTACGGCCAGTCAGTGCCCCGCCCGATTTCGCGGGTCCGGGACACTCCAGCTAGCGAGGTCCACTCGCGATCCAGACTGAGTTTCGACTCTAAGAGAGGGAAATCTCGAATGTATTTTGGAACGCTCTCTCAATGCTCTTCCTCGAGGAGCATCTCGGATATTTCAACGGGGACCTTATCTCTCGGACGATTTCTCTGACTTCCGACGGACTCTGATCCTGACTGAACAACGCGATGGTTTCGGAGTGAAACGCCTTCGAAATCAATGAGGGGCATTTCATCTCAAAATTGGCTTGGGATCGCGGGATCTCCCAGGGTTCACGCAGGACTTGCTCGTGGCGATTCTTCGGCTGCATTGTCCAATACAGATCATCGCGGACATCGCGCCCCGAATCAGTATTCCCTGTCTGTACCCTCAACCACCGGCCCAGAACACGCAATTGAACTCCGTGCCTCTATCGCGCCTTATGTCACTAATCGTTCCTTCCCCGAGTCCATTCCCGAGTTCCTTTTCCGGCTTCCCGCAGTGACTTCGGTGATTTATGCAAACGGAGCGAGGATCGCTGAGGGGATAGGGATATCCCGAGGAAAGTGCGTATTCGCGTATATGCTTCGGAGTCTGTAATAAGAGCTCGGAGCTCATTATTGTCCCCCCCCCTTTTCGCACTCGCACTTCTTTATGAGAATCATAGGGTCACCCCTTTGCAAGCTGCTCCCACGGAAAAAAAATCTCATTTGTATACTACGCTTCGGGATCGGAGAGCGAGCGTCTTTTCAAGCGGATGAATTAGAGGGATTAGTCCTAGAATATAACTACAGCCTGCTTCGATAGAGGTGCTGGATCAATCCTTTTGATAATACCGAATGAAACGTTTTTTACATGGAGGGTGACGATTCCTTATCGGTGACGGGATTGCGTGCACTATCAGACAAAGGAATCTGCCGACGCGTCCCTCGTGTGTGCGTGGAGATGATTCGCGGTTCTGATGCCAAGACATCTCTCCTTTCTCTCTGAGTCTGAAATTCGCAAAATGGTCTTCACTTCCAGAACGGAGCAGTTTTTCCTGTGGAAAGACGAGCCATGACAGGCAGAAGCCGAACATTCGATTCGGGGTGTGCGATCGCGGAGCGCGTTGGCATGTCCCTCGTAGGTCGCCCCAATCTCTCGCTCCTCGCGTGGATCAGCTTTGAAAGGAAAAACTCGAAAAACGATTCATTGATCCATTCGGAGACTGGACAGTCCGGTCAGAACGGGGAGCATCACTCATCGAACATCGACGTTCCCGCAGAAATTATTAGGAGGAAAAAGCGCTAAATCGAATGTTGTGACAGACCGACGACGTTTTCGCTGTACTGGCAGTGTTTGTCTCTGCAAGTTCGGCGCTGCGGGCAATTTTAGCTCGACTTCGATTCGCTCGCTTCGCTCATTGAAAGCTCCCTCCTGCTGCAGGCGAAGGATAGAGGACTCGTTCAATCGCGAGTTTGCACCCGCTCATATGATCCTAATCCAATTTCAAACAAGACTCCGTGTTGCAGCGCCGGTCGGAGGAAGGACTGCATCGTTCGTGGGGAAGAGAGGAGATATCGTCCCTACGGAATTGCGACTCCTGTTCCCATCGACTAACTCTATTCTCTTATAACTTTTTCTCCAACCGATCCCGCCTCGAGAGTTTGAACAAGACTGGCCTCGCCAGCAAACGAATCCGAAGCGTGATTCGAGGGAAAAGCATCGCAACCAGGCCGTGAGAGGTACCATCGACGATCACAAGTATTTAGCCTTGACCCAAATCCTTACGGAAACACAAGCGCCTCAGCTCGCAAAATCAACCTCGTGAGGTTCAAACATTCGGCAGCCGATTCAAACAAACGATTCCGTGGCCGGGAGGATTCGGAGCAGATTTTTTTGGCCATCCTTTTTTTTATTTTCAGAAGGAGATTTGCCACCGTTCTCATTTCATTAAATACCACGACATGTATTGAAGTCAGGTAAAGTTCCGGAGGTACTTTTCAACTCATATCTTTCATCGCTTTGTACAACGTGATGCCATGAAAGCTCTCTAGGCGCTTGATTTGTTGTCTTTCCTGAGACTGAAATCAACGTGACCGATTCCGGAGGCTCCTGAGATACCCGAGTCTTGGTGGGTTCCGTAGACGCTCGGTCCGGCGAAGGTCTTGTGCTTGGTGAATCCCGGAGCAGAGACCTGGTATCCGTGCGACGGGGTGTTGAACTGCTGCTGGCGAACATTGGGAGCCTGGAATCGGGAAGAAGCAACGCCGCCGTGAGTTCCGGGTTCTCGCATGTACACACGAATCGAAGACTCTCCACGAGTTTCCGCTCGTTCCCACGAGAACTTTCCAGGAATTCGGGAACTTTTCGACGCGACAACTAGAAGAATCGGTCAGAAATCAGTACTCACGGTGTATCCAGATACGGTGGCGGAGACTCGGGGAGATTCAACCTGGATGGTTCTTTCCTCTTGCTGTTCGTGCTCGATTTGCACCTGAGGTTGGGCGCTCCTCACAAATGAGATCTGAGGTGCCGACACCGGGATGTACTGATACTGGGGCTGCTGAGTTCTGATGACCGAAATCTGAGGAGCTCCATAGGTCAGGGTGGAGACTGGGGAGACCTGGTGGTGGACGAGGCTCACCTGAGGTGCCGGAGAATGAACGACGCTCACTCTCGGCTGGGGCGAAGACACGAGATGAACTTGAGGGGCTTCAGCCTGAACGTACTGAAACTGGGGTTGAGCAACACGCAGCTGGATTTTCGGGGCTTCGGATACGGTGACGCGAGGAGCGGCCTGGGTGACGGAAACGCCGCCTGAAGGGTAGCCGAAAGTGGCGGTTTTGGTGAGCCCGGGAGCGTTAACGGTATATCCGTGCGAGGTCGCGGGTCCAGAAACGGCCACTCGAGACTGCTGTTGCTGAACTCGGATCTGAGGGGCTTGATCCTGAACATAACTGTATTGGGGCGCGGGGGCCTGAAGGACTTGGACTTGGGGCGCAGGTGCCTGCTGAATGCGGATTTGAGGTGCAGCTGCCTGTTGGATGCGGATTTGGGGTGCGGGGGCCTGTTGGATACGGATTTGAGGAGCGGGTGCCTGGACCACTCGGAGTTGGGGTTGAGCAACGCGAACTTGAACTTTCGGAGCTTCCTGGACGGTCACTCGTTGAGCGGCTTGAGAGATGCTCACTCCGCCGGAGGGATAACCGAAAGTGGCCGTCTTAGTAAGTCCTGGCGCGTTGACTGTGTATCCGTGAGAAGTGGCGGGACCAGAGACCGAGACTCGAGGCTGCTCGACGCGGAATCTCGTCGCAGGGGCCTGCTGCACGCGAATCTGGGGAGCAGGTGCTTGCTGGATACGAATTTGAGGGGCGGGGGCTTGGAGTACGCTCAGCTGGGGCGCTTGCTGAATACGGATCTGTGGGGCCGGGGCCTGGAGGACTTGCACTTGGGGCTGGTCGACTCGGACCTGGACCCGGGGCGATTGTTGGGTGACGGTGACTCGGGGAGCGGAATTCGTGATTGTTGTTCGGCCGGACGGGTACCCGAAAGTGGCCGTTTTCGTCAAACCGGGAGCGTTGACGGTGTATCCATGCGAAGTGGCCGGTCCAGAAACGGCGGCGACCCGTTGTTGCTGAACTCGAACCTGGGTGGCGGGGGCCTGCTGGACTCGAATTTGAGCGGCGGGCGCTTGCTGAATCCGAATCTGCTGAGCGGGGGCTTGGTACACGCTCAGCTGGGGTGCTTGGCGTTCGTAGACGCTGATCTGGGGGGCTCGGCTTTGGAAGAGTTGAATTTGTTGCTGAGGAACCTGGAATTGGTACTGAAAACGACGGTTCCGGTGAGTCCACGGTGTTCGACCGGCAGAATGGAGAGATGGAGCTCCCCGTCGCCGACGTCGCTGACGTTCGAGGGACTGACCTGAGGTGCGGAGCTTTGCAGAAGACTGAATTGCGGAGCTGAACTCTGAACATAGCTCACTTGAGGCGCTGAACGGTAAACACTGAACTGAGGTGAGGAGTCCTGCACGAAGTGCACGGAGGGCTCAGAACGTTGGATGGTGAATTGTTGAGGCTGACTGAGGGCTACTGTGCGTTCTTCGGGAAGGATCGGGAATCTTGCGTGAGTGAAATTTCGGATCGGTCAATCGGAATCCTTGGACTGCATGCATTGAACGAGCGAACTCACCACTTGTCGTTACCGCATTTCTGCTCGCCGTGTTCGAGTTCAAGGCTCCAGATGCTCCCAGCGTAATGGTAGCATAAGACTTTGCGCCATTAGGATGCGCAAGGTCAGACCCGAAGGTCACAGGTCCATTGTGGAAACCTTCGCTGCGGGCAGAGGCCACTAGGGCCGTCAGAAGAACGGCTACATTCTGTAACGAGAGCCAGAATTCAGGAAAGTGTCTCACGAGCACCCGGGAAACGCCGGACTCCATTGACATTGGAGTTCCTCAAGAATTGAGCAGACGCCGATTTGCGACATTTGTTGCCGATTTCTTCGAAAGCTGGGCGATCGTCTTCCGGATGTCTCGGGCGGGCTCAATGTTCTAGATCTCCGATGGAAGCCGATTTCATGAATCCACAAAGCAATCAGAAATCCAGCAGGGTTCGGATGAAGATTCGATTGACCGGCGTTTGTTCCGAGCGTTACGTGTTCATTTAATTGTAACAAACACCGAGTCCGTAGATCAAAGGGGATATCCGGGTTCAGGGAGCTCCACAAAACAGCGTTTTCGTTCCCTCGATTCGAGCTGAGGATCTCTCGGAGACGGCACAGAACACCTACCATAGGATTCATCCTGCCGGGTGACTTCTGTCCCGGTCACAGTGAAGATGTACGGATCGCTATCGTCTGTCGTCCCCTTTATAGGCATCGACCGTGTGTCTCTCCTTAATACTACGATCGACGAAGATAAGAACTTCTGTTTAGCAGCCGCCTGCCAAAGCCCATACGGGTGTGTGTATGTCGCTTCGTTCGTCTGTTCAGTTGTCACGTAGGAGAAGACCGGAGAAGATCAAGGTCGTCGCGCGAAGTTCCACAAGCTACCCTCTGTTGAAAAATTTGAACGTGGACCTCATACGAATAACGGACCGCGACACTCAAACCGCCCGAGTTCACACGGATCTCCCACCGCGAATGGGCTTGTTATTCTATCTCTCCCGAGGAAGAATAAGACCAGGAAGAAACTTCCGGGTCGCTGCTGGCCCGCTGAGATGCTATGAGGGATCTTCGCCGCGATTGAGCAAAGAGATCACGCGCGTCGTAACCATAAGAATTTTTCCGATTCTTGGAGAACTCTCCGGCCAGCGGCAGGGGCTTGAAAATTTTGGACGGCTGGACATTGCAGGAACCTATCGTCTTCTGTCTTCCAAACTTTTGTTTTCTCTCGACCAGGCATGATCCATCGCTTGGTCACGCGCCCATACGACCCCACGCGATTGTGATTAGTCAAAACGTATTGATATTCATCACTAGCTTGAAGTTGAGCCGCTTCGCAACTCGTCTCGTAAACAAAAAGACACCATTAAAATAGTTTCTCGATCCAAGGTCGATAAACAGTCATCGAGAATCGCGATCGATACTGGGGCATCCAGCGGGACGATGACAAGATAAACTGTTGAGAAGAACCGGGTCTAAGAGAACCAGAAGTTCAGGCTTTTCGATGACTCTCCTCCATGTCGATTCCAGACCTTCAGATCTTTCGGTAACATCATCGCGAGTGACATCATTGAAGGAGATCCGCCGCCGCACCGTACAAAATGGATCACTCGATTGGAAGCCGGCACAATATTCTTGTATTCCGGAATGGATCTCATCTACGATTCGGAGTTCACAGCTATTTTCGTATCGAATATCTTTAGTTGTTTTCTTCCCGTATGGTTCACATGCTTGATTTCGCCTTTTCCGATGAGACATTTACTCGAAAAAGACTTCTAGTTCGAAGATATATGACCCTCGATTCAGTCCCTTCCCCGAAAACATCATCTTTCCGTATCTAGTCAGCAGCGTTCTCACGCTTCAGAGATACTCTCCCGATTCAAGTGAAGACAACCCGAGCGGGCTAATCACGCACACATAAGAGAGTACTCGATCTCGTTTACATACATCAAGGATCTCCTCTGTCCCCGCGCGATCATCAGATAGGGAATTCCACAATCGGGAGACTTGCTTGTCTGCTCATCGAAAATCCCCAAAAAGCTAGGTTTCTCCGGCTAGGAAATTATTCAATCATGGCCATGAATCATGGTGTATTGTTTTAATTGTTTTGTGGATGCAAAGCAATCATCAATTTCCTTCGGGAGTATGCTCGTTGTGATCCCTCGCCAGGAACGATAAAGGTGGGTCAAGTCGAATACCGCTTCATATTATTCTCGTATGGGACTATGAAAAGTATAATCATCATCATGAATATTCTTCTATGGATACAGTGCACGTATCTCGTTTGTTTTGCACATCTCTAGTGCCGTTGCATCTTCAAGAAGCTCGATAATCGGAACTCCTACTTATCCTCTCGACGTGTATCTCGCGCCATTGTCGAGCTCCATGCTCATCCATCCACTGTTCCCTCAAACCAAGTACGTATACAGACAGAATTATAATGCGTAATAAAAGCTGCCCCGAGTTGCTCTCAGATTACTTCAAGAAACTTTTTGAAATGGGGATACGATTCCAAATTTGACTGACTCATGATCTTTGACCCCTCCTGTGTCCCAAGGTCACTCGGGTTATTTCAGTTTCAGCCGACAGAACTTTTTTAGCTGCTCCTGCAGAGTCCGTGCTCCGCCTCAGTGTGCCAACGGATACGTATAAATAAAGATAATGAGAGGGATAATGAATATAACTCCCTCGCACGTGTGATTCCTTCAAATCCGGTCATCGACTAGATTTGCTCGATTTGGAACCTTCCCGTCGGACCACAATCGAGAGGAAGAAGGAATTTTTCCCGGGATTACCCGTCCCCTTAGTGTCGACTTTCTCATCGAAGCTGCCACATAGTGAAGAGTTCTCCTCGGAGATCATCTCGAGTTCCCCACCGATCCAGGACTGAAAGCGAATACCGCTGCAGCAGGTAATAATGCCTAAAATCACAGGTTCCTGAGAAATCGAGCTGACTACGGTCGGAAGACACGATAGACGAGGAATGCTATCACGGGAGACCCACAAAGGTCTCATGAGGATTCCCTGAGATAAAGCATCTCACGTCCGAAAAGGATTACTTGGCTGTGTTTCAATATCTTGCCACGAATCTTGATTAATTTCTACATCCTATAATACAAACTATCCCCGACATGGTAATCCATGGTTTCTCCGCAGTCTGCATCTTGTTCCCATCAATCTTTAGAGAGATTTTGAGAGAGTCATGATCCATGACCGTATTCTCCAGCCCGTTCTCAACTCGTTTCCCCGCCTCTCCGAACGGTTCCGAGGCCAAAAGGGAAGGGAGCACCTCGCGAGCTCCGTGGATCTAGCTCAGACTTCAAGGCTAGGATACTATGCACTGATGAATGATACTCACTCAGGGTGCCCAGGAATGCTTCTGTTGTGCTCACTCAGGAGTCAGTAACGGGTTCATGTTCTTCATATCGAGACCCATCCTATCTCCCGCAGGCCAATACACCACTCGTGGAAACTCCCGTCGAGCGGGGAGCTTGACAGGTCTTCATGTTTCCAAAGTTCGACATTCGGCTGAAATTTGATTTTCAGCTTTAGAGGCGGAAGGCCTCGGTTATCAAATGTATTGTGGTTTTCGAATGCGCTTTCTGAAAAGTTGCAATACCATCAGCTCGGCTCAAGAATTCGACGACATCTTCACGGTGGGATTTCGATGCTGCTCGTTCGCAGACAGAACCGATTCCGAATTCTTGGGAATGACACCACAGATTGAACGCAGTGCAGACTTCACGCTATCAGCCCATGGCGGCAGTGAAGGGCTTGTGGCTTCGGATTTTTTTTCTACAGGAAGAAAAGTTCGATGATGAAAGGTCGGGACTGGTTGATACTGCGCTGCGACGCGTGATCGTTGCTCCTTCATGAATGGACAATATTCCCTTCATCCATGGCCAGGGTCGTTTATCACTCGCTGGCGGAAACAGACCACCTCGCTTAGCTTCTGAGCTGGTTTTCTGCATTCGGACGACAGAACTGCATTAGGAAACAGAAAAACAAACATCGACAATCCGCACGGATCTGGAATAATCGGACAGGGGCGAGCACGTCTCCCAGTGCCTCCCGGAACGCCTCGGTTGTCGACTTGGAGGCGGGGATTGACGCTAGACGTGAGGCTCAGCATTCGAAGATTAGGAAAGGACGTCCAGGGAACGCGAGCGGGGCACCGACAGGAGCCTATTTGGGATTTCCGGAAGGGGAGTAAGACATCCCCGATTGCGAATCGGTGGAGGGTAGACTGAACTTCCGGAAATCGTTCCAGCGGAGGGGTGCTGAAGGCGACAAGGAGGAGAGGCGGGAGAGGGATCGAGAAAGGAGAGTCGAGTTGTCGGAGATTTGAGCCTGTCCAAGTTTCGCTCGATGTCACAAACATTCATAAAAAACTACGGAGCCTCGCCGAGAGCAATCGCCGATGATCGATGATAAGCCACAAAGACGAAGCACAAAAATCTCGCACCAGTCGAGACTAGCGGCCCTGGACGAACGACCGCTGTCTTATCTAGCTCACGCTAACGGAAACGCGTGAAAAAGGGGTACCCCATCTAAACATCTTTCCTTCGTTCTTCTCAGTCTCGCATCAGCCTTAATTACAGTAGAACCTCGTTATAACGGACTCCAAGCGACCAGCCGAAAGTGTCCGTTATAACCGGAGTCCCTTATATCGGACCAAGGATTATGGGTAGCCTATGAGCACTCTCACTCTCACTCTCAGAGTTCTCAATCGGTTCGATCATCGCTCTCCGCTCTCCGCCGATGATGGACGTAGTAAGTTTTGTGGACACGAATACAAGAACGCGCCCCATGAAGTGTACAGAACGGTCCCACTCTTCATTGTTGGAGAAAGCGCGAATACTCGCTTGTCGGGTGTGATTGCTTCTAAACTCGAATAATTTCTCAATGTCCAAAAGTTTTTGCTGTGATATTTCACTGTCTCTCAAAGTATGAAGGTATCGTTGCAGCGTCTCATGAAGGACTGGACTTTTCGTATCGATGCTGAGCACTTTCCGTTTTACTTTATCGGACATCCTGAGAACTTATCCAACTCGAATCGGCAGATTCGATAAGCGACTGCTCTCAGTTTGTGAACAGATTCCGCGTTCCGCTTGTAGTTATGAGCCAGCCGGACCGTGCACTCGCGAATCATGTGCACTTGTTTTGATGGGAACGATTCGAGCACTGGAAGACTGCAACGGCTCTCATTTTCGAATACCGGAGGATCGGTCCGTTCCAACCGTACTAAATATAAGGAGCACAATAGGATGCGGACTCCGGAAAAGGTCCGCTGTAACCGGAAGTCCGTTATATCCGAGTCCGCTCCATCCGGCTCTCTCAACATGGTAAACTATAGGGACTTGGTCGGGAGCGCAAGAAAAGTCCGGTATAACCGAGGGTCCGTTATATCCGATTCCGTTATAACGAGGCTCTACTGTACTATGCTTCGGGACTCGTACTCGATTCGAATCGTTGTAGAATCGAGGAACATGCCGACAAGCTCCCTCGAATGATTCTGATACCGGCTATCGGGACTTCTGGCGCTAACCGAGGTATTTCCAGGAGTTATAGGCTGGTATACTGTGCTTCCCGCAGAATTCATTCTCCTCCCAGGATCCATTCACGAAATCCAGGACAGG